TTTTATTGATTTAGAAAAAGCTTACGATAAGGTTCCAAGAGATATCCTTTGGAGAGTTCTTGAGAAGAAAGGTGTTGATATGACTTATATTCAAGTCATTAAAGATATGTATACTAGATTTGTTACTTGTGTTCAAACTGAAGGAGGATTGACCAAATATTTTGCTATTTCTGTTGGACTACATCAGGGATCGACTTTAAGCCCATATCTTTTTCCTTTATTTATGGATGTTCTTACTGGACATCTACAGGAGGATATACCTTGTTGTATGTTTTTTGCTGATGATATCCTTCTCGTGGATAAATTGAGAGAAAAAGCCCAGGAAAAACTTGAATTATGGAGATCTACATTGGAGTCTAAAGGCTTTCATCTAAGTAGAACTAAAACTGAATACATGAAATGTAATTTTAGTAGTAGTAGTTCTAGTGACAGAAGTGTTACTTTGGGTGATCAAATTATTAAAAGGTGTGAACTATTTAGATATCTTGGGTCTATTGTTCAAAGCGATGGTGATATAGATGGGGATGTTAATAGTAGAATTCAAGTTGGTTGGTTGAAGTGGAGGAATGCTTCAGGCCTTTGGTGTGACCTGCAATGCTCTATGGCGCTGAATGTTGGCCTTTAAAAGAGAAGCATAATAATAAGTTGAGTGTTGCCGAGATGAGAATGATTAGGTGGATTAGTGGCTTTACACTTAGAGATAAATTGTGAAATGAATATATCCGTGATAGGGTTGGTGTAGCTCCTGTGACGAACAAAATTAGAGAAAGTCGACTTAGATGGTTTGGTCACATTAAACGTCGACCATATGATGATCCTATTAGGAGAGTAGATGTTTTAGATTCGACTTATGTTAAGAAAGGCAGAGGTAGACCTAGGAAGACTTGGGCTTATTGTATTAAAAATGATCTTAATTTACTAGAACTAAATGAAAATATGACACTAAACAGGACGCAATGGAGAAAAAGGATTCATGTAGCCGACCCCACGTAGTGGGATTAAGGCTTTGTTGTTGTTGAGTTAGAGCATACATGTAGTCAAACATACATTTTGAAATAAAGAATATTACTAAATTTAGAAATGTAATTAGTCACTTTGATTGCCATGTTAGATTCTCAATCTTCAATAATCAGCTAAACATCACAATAACTTTTATGTTGATCTTAACCACCTGTAGAAAATAATATCAACCTTAAGATTTATTAAGCTTATGTTAATCAAATTTATTCTTCTCTAAGTTAGTACAAAATTATTTTACTTTAAATTAACGAAGCCGCCCCACAACTAGTTTCTACACGCTCGCTTCGAGACGCCGTCTAGAACAAAAAACCAGTAATTTATAATTATCTTAGGATTTCTAAATTATCTATATAGAGAAACAAAAAGTCTAAAGTATGTTTAGCTGATTTCTTAAAAATGGTTTCCTTAAAATGTTATGCTGAATCCTAAATGGGTTAGCATTTGATGTGGATTGCTGAACAGAACTAGGACAGCTTTTCATCCGATGTCCAGGCTGTTTGCATAAAGGGCACACTTTCAAACTAAATAAACATTTATCACGATGTTGCTTCCCACACTTAACACAGGGTTTCATATTGTTATTGCCAGCATGGTTAAAAACTCCACCAGTGTAGGATTTTTCTTCTTCCTATAAGAATCACCTGAATGAATCGTTGGTTCTACTTCTTTCAAACTCTTCCTCTTGTACAATTCTCTACACTTCTAAATCCGTTGGAAATCAATCTCGACGCCTAATCTTCTCCACTGGCTTTGAATAGTCTTCAATCATAAATGGCACTAGTGGCTGCCTGATTGAATCCTTCGATCCAAAAAGAAATGTGACATTTTTTTCTTCATTTGGAATAAGCTGTAGTGCATATCTTAATAGTATATTGAACTTCGCTTACTGAGCAATCTTCTTGCACCAACTTAATGAATTTATCTTGCATTCATCTTCTGGCTGACGGTGATACAAATCGATCTCTAAAGGTTCTCACAAACTCGTCTCACTACACTAAGCGACTAGTTCTACCACTGAACTTCTTCTGTATCTGTCATTGCCACCACCAGCTTTTGGCTTTCTTTTCAAAAGCAAAATTAGTCAGTGCAACTCTCCTTTTTGATGGAACCCACCTAAAATCTTCTCCATTTTCAACAGTCAGTTTTTCGGCTTTCGTTGGCCCTACTGCTCCAAAAAATAAATGTTATCATATTCTGAAATAGCTTCAAGTACTTATCCATTAGTGCTCCTCCACTGCTAGAATGAGATTGAGAATTCTTAATTAGTTGAGTCACAATATTCATTATATCATAAATGCACCAACACTGGCTATGACATTTTGGGATACATCAAATTCTACATTATCATCCATAACCTCTTCCTCCATATTATCTATGATCTGAAATAACCATAAAATGATTTAATTGGACTCTATTAAAATTTTAATTTTTATTATTTATAACTTAATCCAATCATCCTAATGACTCTTTCATTAAGATTCATGTTATTTAATGTAAGCCTCTTACTCTGATATCAGTTTTGTCATGACCTAGCCTGAGACTTTGAATTAACCAAGACAGGAACGGATGGTTGGACGGTGAAAATTAATTCTTTGTTATTTTATTTCTATCACTAATAATTAAATATTCAAATATACATGAAAGAGCCATTAAAGAGTAATTTAATTAACAAATAAAAT